GAGAGAGAGAGAGAGAGAGAGAGAGAGAGAGAGAGAGAGAGAGAGAGAGAGAGAGAGAGAGAGTTCTTCTTCTTCCTCTTCTAAGTCCACCACCTCTCCCTCACCCTCTCGCTACCTAACTTCTCAGTATCTGGCAATCTGCAGACTAGAGAGAGAGAGAGAGATTGGTGACTTTGGGACTTGACGACATTTGGATCCAGACTCCACATTAGTATTGAGACATTGGACGAGGGATTATTTGGGACCTGTACCAAAGACTTGGTGTTGTCGACATTCCCATCTTCCCCTCTTCTTCGTCTAACCCCCCTCTTCTTCGTCTGTGTATGGTTGGGGACTGGCGCATTCTTCTTGTGTGAACGCCAGGCCCCTTCACACCATGGAATGATGATGATGTATGTTTGGTCTGCATTGCAACATTGATTGTTCGGATCATCGGTATATTAGCCTTCCGCTGCGCTATCTTGTACTGTGTGAGAGAGGTCGGTTCTTGTTCTGGTCTGCACCTTTACGGTATGCGACAGCATCCGTCAGAATTTGAAGTTCGAACTGTTGATCTGTTTGGTTATCAACAGTTTGCTTATGTGTACCATTCATTCACTTTGGCTGGGTAGGAGGTGTAACAACGTGCACTCTTGCCCTGATGACCACCCTTCAGGATTTCATCTCGCTGGTGTTATACAGCTTGCATGCCATTATGGATGATGAATTTTCTCAAACCATTTCAGAAAAGAGAAAAAACAAAACTGAAAAGGGAAAATCAAGGGGGAGTGCCAGGCCGTTCTGTAGTAGATATTGAACACCATTACTGATAAATTGCCATTGACACAGCACAGGGATCGGAAGGAGTAGAGGCAGCAAATGCGATGGAAAACCTTAGCGGCGTGCTGCGTCTTCGCGAAAAGCTTGACGAAGCTGCAGAACTCCTCCAAAGGTGTGGTTCCCAATTTCACAGCTTTACATCACTTGCTATTCCTTGCACTCTTTGCTGATAACTTGGCTATTCCTTTCAGTGTTTTGCTGCAAACGTGGCTATTCTTCAGTGCAAGCTTACCTATTCCTAATATTTCCTATCACTGTTTGCTGGAAACTTGGATATTCTTTGGTGCAGACGTGACTATTCCTTTCAGTGTTTGCTGTAAACTTGGGTATTATTTTGCTGTTTGCTGCAAACTTGGGTATTCTTTTGCTGTTTCCGGACGTGACTATTCCTTTCACTGTTTGCTGCAAACTTGGCTATTCGTTTGCTGTTTGCTGCAAACTTGGTTATTCTTTGGTGCTAATTTGGTTATTCCTGTCCTTCGGGACATCTGTTAAAATTGGAACGATACAGAGAAGATTAGCATGGCCCCTGTGCAAGGATGACACGCATAAATCGAGAAGTGGTCCTAATTTTAAAAATAAAAATAAAAGAAATTTCAAATTTGGTTATTCCTTTCACCGTTTTGCTGCAAAAACTTCTGTTCCTTTCACTGTTTGCTGCAAACTTGGATATATTTTTGGTGCAGACGTGGCTATTCCTTTCAGTGTTTGCACTGTTTGGTGCAAACTTGGCTATTCTTTTTACTGCTTGTTGCAAACTTTGGCTATTCTTCAGTGCTAACTTGGCTATTCCTTTCAGCGTTTTGCTGCAAAAACTTGGCTATTCCTTTCACTGTTTTGCTGCAAACTTGGCTATTCTTTTTACTGTCTGTTGCAAACTTGGCTATTGTTTGGTGCGAACTTGGCAATTCCTTTCACCGTTTTGCTGCAAAAGCTTTGCTGAAACTTGGCTATTCTTTGGTTCGAACTTGGCTATTCCTTTCACTGTTTACTGCAAACCTGTCTATTCTTTAGTGCAAACTTGGATATTCCTTTCACAAAAACTGTGCTATTTTTTGGTGCTAACTTAGCTATTCTCTGCGATGTTTCCTGGACCCTTGCTTGCCCAACGAGCAGGGAGAAGGACCAGGGAGATCAGGAGACAATGCAAAGAACGGGAAAAAACTTAAAAAAAGAGTATTTATTATTTCTGCTTCGGCAAACTTTGGATTGAACCAGCTTGTGTCAGGTGTCCAGATGTGCATCTGGAATAAATAGATGCCGGCTTTTCTTTTCCTTTTCTTTTTTTTTAATTTATGCAACTAAAATGAGCGATAGCTAAATGACAGAAATTCAGAATGCAAAATCACGTTGAAAGCCAGCAAGTCCAACACTGTCCAGAAAGCAGAAATGCACTGATATTCCACCAAGGGAGAACCAAAGCACCGAATCCGAATGTCAATGAGAGCATACTCTCACCACCACCAGCATATGTATGCAGAGCCCTTCCTCCTTACTTGGCGCTCAGCGCCCAGACTACAATCACACAGCTAACAGAACCCTACGAATTGACAATGCATCCTGTTGACGTCAGCAGTCACAACCGAAGATGAACAGAATAAAATAATTATGAATTACCTGGGGCCGGCCAGTTCAAGGATGACATCTCAACGCCGCTGTCGCCCTTTTTAACGGAAAAATAATCCTTATCTCTGATCAGATTGGATCCTGATCTTTGCAGTGCAGGATCCAATTATGGTTACCATGCGGGTTGTTGCAGTTCAACTTCAGAGAAGTTCAGACCAATCTGAATAATACAAATTATAATAGTGAGTAACCACGGACGCGGACACTGGACACTCGGCACTCCCGGACTGTCTTCCAAACCAGTGCCTGGACCAGTCCGGACCATAGTTGCGGCGCACGTGTGCGGTGCGCTGTGCGCTGTGTGCAGGTTTAGCAGGGCGCGCACTGTGCGCTGTGCGCTGTGCGGTGCGCTGTGCGCGCGCTGCGGCCTGTGCGCCATGTGCGCAGGAATTAAAAAAAAAAATGCCAAACCCCCTCTTCCCCCGCCCCCAGCAGCCATACTGACATACCAACCTGCAAGGGAGAGAGATGGTGGAGGAGAGATGGTGGAGGAGACATGGGGGAGGAGAGACGGAGGAAGAGAGGTGAGGGAGGAGGTGTGTGTGTGTGTGTGTATGTGTGTGCGTGTGTGTGTGTGTGTGTGTGTGTGTGTGTGTGTGTGTGTGTGTGTGTGTCGT